AAAAATATCTGACAAGAATCCATGTACACAGCGACATGTTTTAACTTAAAAAAACATCTACGAATTGCACAATGTAGGCAACGAACGAATCTACAAACTATGCACACCTCGCTTTAATAAATTAACATAACAACAATAAATTTCAAAGAATACCATGTACACAGCATCCTTTAAACTTTAAAAAAATTCTAAGAATTGCACAATTTAGGCAAGGAAGGAATCTACGATCTACGCACTCCTCGCTTTAATAAAATAACATAACAACAATAAATTTCAAATAATACCATGTACACAGCATTTTGTTTTAACTTTAAAAAACATCTACGAATTGTACAGTCTAGACACTAAACAACAAGATAAACTAATATAAATTTCAAACAATTTTAAAAAAAACAACAATAACGACAGAAATTCATACTAAAGAACCAATGAACATAACATTCTACAAAATAAGAACAAGGATAAAATAAAATGCACTTACCATGAATTAATGCGTTTTCGAATAGCAGAAATATAAATTTCGGTTGATCTTTACAATATGGTAACTGGTAGTTTGGCGACATTTTGGAGGCGATAAAGGTTACTACCTGGGACTTTGGTAATAATGTGAGCAGTACTCAGTTCCGATTACGCATTATTTTGCGTGAGGGAAATGAGAGATCATGGGATATGTCATGTGATATTAATGGACGAATTACGGTTCTTTAATCGGAAAAGGGGGGAAATCGAAAAAAAGGTGGAAATTTTGTATTTAGCTTTATTCTGTGTTGTGTTAAACAGTGTTGTTTAATTTTTGGATCCCATGGCCCTAACTAAAGTGAATTCGAAATGGGTATTTAGGCATTGTGATAAAGAAAAGTTTGCTTTTTATTTAGCGGAGGAAGTATGGAGGAAAAATTCGCAGAAAAAATCTTTCAATAATTTTATTGAATGAATTAGAGAAGTGTATCCGCCACATAATCAATGTTCTGAAGAAGATTAGGCAAGTTAGTATTTTTAATTATTTGAGGATATTATTTTTATGCATCGTTCTAAATGTAAGGAGTAAATAAAGTAATATGGTATTATTGGAAAATTGTTATTAGCAATGATTTAGTTTAAAGTAATTAGGATTGTAAGCTAATTTTTATTAATTTAATGTATGTGGTTATTTATATTTTAAGTAGTGTTTTTGAATTTAATTAAATTTTAATTAAATGATAGTTATTTTGTGAATTTTATGTTTGTAGGAATTTGGTATACGTTTTAGATGAAGTAAATGTGCATGGAAATAATTTAAATATCTGACACTAAGTATTTGTAATGGTTGCGGTATGAATTCGTTGGTGACGTTTATAATATAATAGATGATTTAGAGGTAAAAGATTTTGGATATTTTATTTATTTTATATGTGGAAATGTTCATATTTGGAAAGGGTAAATACTTTTTCGCGATCAGGTAATTTCATATATGTTCTTTTTACCGGGTTTAAAGATTGAGAAAATTGTCATGTATTTTCGTGAAATTTTTCTAATTTATGAGAAAAAAGCAGTGTACATGGATATAGTGAAGAGTGTGCGCAATGCCATTTTTGTGCAATTCTGGGATGTTTTTTTAAGTAAAAATAAGTCGGCGTGTACATGGTTTATGTGTGTTATTTTGAAAAACGCGTAAGGAGTATGGTATTCTGCACTTTTCCCCAATTTTGCAGTGAACATTTGTCATGATTAAGCAGTTTTGTTTGATAAAATTTCTAGCATAAGTGTAATTCAGCTAGTAGATTGTTGGAAGAAGTGTTCAGTAGATAAAAAGAAAAGAAACATGTCTTTACTTCGTGAAGACGAAATGGCGGCGGGGAAAAAAAAATAGAGGATTGCTGTAGGAGAGTTGGTTGCCAAATTTTCGCCAAAAAATCGCCAAGTTACCATAATGTAAAGATCAACCTAAATTTCATACCGCCTTTAACATGCTGCCACGTAACCACTATCATATTTACATGACAGCCAGACACACTATCCAGAAAATTTATACTATGGTTCACAAATAAATAAAATTACAAATCCCTACTTCTATCATGTACTGCCATTAAAAATAATCTCTCAGACCCTCTTTCCACACTTCCAAATACCCACCACCCCTCAACAGGATTGCCACAATCATATTTCCTTTTGCCGAACTTCGATTCAACAACTACCATTTTATCTTTCCCTCCCATCTTCTCAGACACAGAGGCGAACCAACGAGCTCCAGCGAAAGATTTTTCAACGTCAAAAGGGTTGCCATAGAACACGCAATCGCGCCAAAAACCAGCGCAGAACACATATCGCCACATTTGGTGAAATTAGGGCGTATATTAGAGTTGTACCAAACAAACTTCTAAAAAGAATAAAATTGAATTATTTTGCAATTCAACTTGACAAATCGACGGATGTAACAAATGTTGCAGTCTTGCTTGTCTACGTTAGATATCTTTTTACGAATATTGTTCAAGAAGATATACTATTTGCAAAACCTTTGAAAACCTACACAACTGGAGAAGCGATTTTCGATATGATCAATGGGTATTTTGAAAAGAATGGAATAAGCTGGTCTTATCATGTGAGTGTGTGTACAGATGGTGCAAAATCAATGACAGGAAAATTTTCTGGTTTTGTGGCACGGGTGAAGAAGATCAACGAGAAAATTCAATGGACTCATTGTTGTATTCATAGACAAGCTTTAGTATGTAAGTGTATTCCTGCAGAGTTATCTACTACTTTAACTGATGCTGTGAAAATTGTGAACTTTTTAAAATCTCGTGCTACAAATTGCCGTCTAATCCGTACGCTTTGCGAGGATTTTGGAAGTTTCCACGTTTCTTTACTACTTCACACAGAAGTTAGATGGCTTTCCCCATGGTAAAGTTTTGACGCGTTTGTTTGAAGTCTGAAGTTCAAGCATTTTTTATTGATCATCCATTTCATTTGTCTTTTTGGTTCTCCGATGTTCTTTGGCTGCAAAAGCTTGCGTATTTAGCTGACATTTTTTGTAAACTGAATGAATTAAATATGTCTTTACAAGGCGAGGATGTCACCATTTTCAGTGTACATGATAGAATTGAGGCTATGTTGAAAAAGATCAATTTTTGGATTCAATGCCTGCAGGTGAATGAGTACGGTTGTTCCGATTCTGTCAGCACTTTATCAGAAAATTCAATTAAACTTGACGAAAACATTAAAAGGAGTATATGTGAACATCTGAACTACTTCGATTAACTTTCGATGACTATTTTCCTAACAGATGCAATATATCCATCTCAAACAACTGGACAAGTAATCCATTTCAAGGAAATTTAAGTTCAGAAACCTCTCTAAATATAATGTTAAAAGAAAAACTCATACAGTTATCTTGTGACAGCTCTCTGAAAGCAATTTTTAAAGATCAATCTTTATTGACTTCTAGCTCAGTATATAAAATGAATATCCTGTTCTGTCAAAAAAAGCCTTTGAAGTTCTATTACCATTTTGCACAGCATATCTATGCGAGAAAGGATTTGCAACATATACTTATCTGAAAGATAAATACAGAAACGGATTAAGAGTTTGGTTAATCTTTGGATTATGGTAACTTGGCAATTTTTTGGCGAAAATTTGGCGACCAACCCTGCTAGTTTTGTTTTGTACGCCATTTTGTTTTAACGAAGTAAAGGCATGGTTTTTTTTTTTTTTTTTTTTTATCCTCAACATTTTTTCCCAACAATCTGCTAGCCGAATTACGCTTATGCTAGAACTCTTATGGAACAAAAGTGCTTAATCATGACGAAATTGGGAGAAAGTGCTGAATCGCCCACTGCTTGCCGTGTTTTTAAAAATTGCACATACACAGTATCCATGTACACGTCGACCTATTTTCACTTAAAAAAACATCCCAGAATTGCACAAAAATGGCATTGCGCACACTCTTGACTTCATCCATGTACACTGCTAAAGTCCTAGCTAGTAACTTTTATCGCCTTACCAAAATTTTGCCAAACTATCTGTTACCATATTCCAAAGATTAGCTAAGAGTTTTTCCAAATGTGAAACATAAGAACCAGTTTGTTAAATTTATCTTGTTTTCAACTTTTATAGCCATCCTTTTACTCTTATTAATGTTTTATTTAAATGTTTGACGATTAATATAATCAATTATTCTGCAATATGAAAAATATATATTCCATCAAATTTTATTGCTTTTTTTTTACCTGTCATTAAGGACTACATAGGGGGTTCATCAAATTTTTTCGGACCTTTCTTTTGGTTCGCGAGGAAAAAAGGTTGGGAAACGCTAATTTAGAAGATTAATTTTGGATACAAAAATCGGTTGGCAAAAGCTGATTTTCATTTTTAATTGGTAAAGTGCAGAATCGCCCACTTATTTCTTTAGTGCTTTTTGCAAGATTTGGATTTTTGTCAATTTTCTTTTGACTTTTTAAGTGAAAATAGGTCGATGTGTACATAGATAAAGTCAAGAGTGCGCAATGACATTTTTGTGCAATTCTGGGATTTTTTTAAGTGAAAATAGGTCGATGTGCACATGGATACCGAGTAGGTGCAATTCCTAACAAACGCACCAAGCAGTGGTCGATTCTGCACTTTCCCCTTTGAGGCTAGTACAATATAGCCCACCTTATTTGTATCAGACGTGATGGTCATTTCGAAATTATTAAAACATCAGGCAATACCAAAAAAACAAAATTACAATCAACAAAACAAAACAATCTTAATTTCGAGGGAACAGCTTGTAACAGACACGTAACATAAAAAAAATTGCACACCTTACAATAGCGATAAAATCTCAATGAACTGTCGTGAACAGCAGCAAATTAAACATAGTCATACAAACTATAACAATAAGCATTAAAATATTACACCAAAAATTGTAAGTGCATGTTACAATGATGGCCGCTGGCATCACCATTTTTTGTGGAATGTCCCTTAACGTTACAAAACACAAGATTCTTTTTATTTAAAAGCAATATATTATTTATATTATAACTTACCTTATCAAGTACGCGATCAAATCCTCCTTCCTCAATTAAACTTTTTAGCATAGTTATTGTTCTAACTTTCATTAGCGACATTGTTAAGGAGATAGCTTTTCCAAGCTTCACTGAACGCCGTATTTCCTGATTGGCTTGCAGGGCAGTAGGGGGCGGTGGAATATCATGTCCGTAATGCTCTTTAACAAATTTAACAATTACTTCTCCTGATATTCTGTTAATCGTAGCAACCATACTAGCAGTACACTGATGTCCCATTTTGCAGGTTACTTTAGCTTTACGTTTACCTGTGCTTTGGCTAATATATGATCCAGATCGGTTGCAATGAAAATATTGCTGTACTGCATTTTTTCTCAATTTATCACCTTGAGTTTTGATAAAACGCACTCTCTCGGATTTTTCAAGCTTTTTCTTCCAATGAAGAAAAGTCCTTTTCGTAGGAAAAAATCTGTAGTCTTCATGAAAAGTAAATCCATGAGCTTCATTCAGATGAGTCCTTAAATCAGCTATAGTACCAAAAAGTCCATTGCAATAATTTTCAGCGCAAGGGATCCGGTGGTTTGATGTGTCTTGGGGTATTTCGATGTTATGACACTTTTTCAGATGTTTATTTCTGTTGCTATTAGTAGTATACGACTTATCACACAAATGACAATTGAAAACCTCATCAGTAGTAGAGCTAGAACTTGCCATATCAAATTTTTAATTAATTATCGACCCAATCCATAGCTAATTGTCGACCCGATTCCAAAGATGGCTGCCGGGTCTTCAACGAGAAGCGCGGCATCTGAAGATGAAAAGCAAACCCCCGAACGCTGATTGGCTAAAGACTTTCTACCCTCCCTGTCATTTAATGTAGCTGTCAATCAATTTAGACGCGGAGTGAATTAGCATTGCGTCGTCTGCTTATAGCGGGAAGAACAAAAAGACGTAGACAATGGCGTGCTTTCCAATGAAGCAACTATTACAGATAGATATATAACATCTGAGTTTTCCTTTCTGGAGTTTGTTAGCATAATCAGATGATACTGATCAGCATTTTTAGTTGAAAAGTATATTCACGATGAAAATAATAATACTGGTAAAATTCTATTCCAAATTTTAAAAATACTTTTTGCATGAATTGATTTTTTAAAATAAATCAATTACAATGTAATAATAAAGGAAAAATAAATGCACATCATTGAAAATTATACTGAACATTACAAAACAAGATCCTAACAAAATCATAAAAATAAAATTTAAAAATTTTCAATTTCAAAAAGCTTTTAGAAACTAAGCATATGGCAAGTACATTTTACAAAATGTGAATTTGCTATGCAATAAAAATGAATTAAGGTAAGTAATATGTCACTGAAATTTAAAAAAGAAAAAATAATAATTTATGAACAGGAAGACTGCTAACTGGAAATATTTTGTTTCTAGTAATTGCATTCCAAGTTTGTTTTCTGATATAGATATTTTTTAGATTTCTTAAGGTATAATGTGGGGCCTACAAGCTGAAAAGCGGTGAAGTCACTAAACTCTAGTAGTTATGTCTGACGCTCGAATCCTGGTGAACGGGGCAACTACACAGGTGTTTTCATGGCTTTCCGCATGTGTAACGTGTATATGAGTCAGTTTTCTTTAAAGAGTTTTCTATGAAGGCATCCCTGTCCTTAGGCAGACAGCCCTCAAATGCTTTGTCATAATTAACTCTCTAAGCACCATGACCGACTTTATGCGGTCAAGAGATTTTTTGTTACTTGTTATATATTAGCTTATAAGTTAAGATATTTTGCTTTCTTACTTTCATTAAAAATATAAATGCCATCTTGATGAATGTAAATTTATGAAAATAGAGATTAAAATAGGTAAATATACATATTTAGCTAATAAAGGCTCTTTAAATACATGTTTTATGACAGATCCAAAAATCTGGGCAACTCAGAAGGTTAAATGAATCAAGCAAAAAAAGTATAATATTATAAGCCATTTTCTCTTACAAGCGTTTTAGTGAAAATATGTCTTATGAAGCACATAAAACCTGAAGGCACCTAGAGTGAAAATTACCCCAATCTTTAATAACTATTCTAAATATAAAAAATTAATAGATTAGCATCCCCTTTGAAAATATAATTATTACTTGATATCCATTGGCATTTATACATTTGTTAGTTATTTATTTGTAGGTGTATACATGAACATGAAATATATAAGTATAATATAAGTAGGTACACAAGTATAATAATTATATATAATTTTTGACTGGTTAACTTGCCAAATTATCTGCTGATACATATTTTAATTAATATGTATCAGCAGATAATATTATCTTATATAAATTTAAATTGAAAATTTATTTGAAAATTTAATATAGAAAATTAAAAGTTTTTTTATTTTTTTTTTATTTGTTGATGTTCTTGAAAATATTACAAGGAATTTTTTTATCTGCTTATTCACTTTTATTATTTTATATTATAATAAATTAATAGTTTTAAAAGATAAACACTCTTAACAAATTTTTTTACGGAGTTTGTTTTTTTTTTTTTTTTTTTTAATATAAAACACACAAACATAATATAAGTACACAGTTATAAGGATTATTTATCATAATTTTTTGCATGACTGACAGACCTAATTCTCTGTTGATATACATTTTAATTAAATTAACTTATAAGCATTTTGATTAAAATTATAAGAAAGTTCAATTCAGGAAATTAATTCATATATTTTAAATTTATTATATAACAGTTAGCACCTACTCAAGGAAATCAAATAAGCAGTTAAGTGATAAAAAGAGCAAATAAAGCAGAATAGGAAAAAAATCAGCAAAACTTTCTAATGCATAATATAGTAAAAAAACAATAAAGGCTGTTTTCATATTCAAAATGTGCAAATTCGCGTTCTTTCAGTTATTAATTTACAATGTCAGTACTGCACTTTCGTGTATTGCAGTACGGGTTTTTACTGTTGTATTATGCATTAGTATTCCAACCCTACCATCTGTTCATTTTGCTTTATTAATATTTTCAACAAATTATAAAGGATGAATTATGTATCTTAATAATGAAAGAAAGGATGAATTATGTATCTTAATGAAATATATATTTAAAATTATATTAAACTAGCTAGTTAAACAAGTTAATTTGAATTATAACATGAGTTTTTAATTAATTAACTCATTTTGTAATTATTCTTAAAACTGCGGCAAATTAGGTAGTACGCATTTTATTGCTGAATACTAAAGTAAAGCTGTAAAACAGCAAAGCAGAACAAGTTCAACTATCAAGTTGTTTTTATAAACTTTATACTCTGATGTAATTTAAAGTGTTTCGAAAGCGCGTAACAAGACACAAATTTTCAGAAACGTATTAGTAGGAAACGTTTAGTTGTTTTAAAACTTCTATCATGCTGATTTTTATCGAAGTAAAATACACGGTTTCAATTTTCTAAAAATTCCATGCGATTCATTATTTTTAATTCTTTATAAATTATTAAAATTTTAAAATGCATTTAAAAATAACTTTTAGATTGAAATTTTGTAAAAATTATTGAAATCGTGTAGTGATGATGGTAGCCGACGGAGCTGATTCATTACTGATGGGAGGGGCTTCTTTTTGTTTATTTACCTGGGATTTCCCACCTGTAAGGTGAAAAATGTAAAGGGTGAAATGCGCCTAAAATCAATTTTTCAGTCTCGTCTGTCACCAGTGTATTTGAATATCCTGTTTATCGAAATAAGTTATGCTTTAATTTAATTTGACACAATGCTTTGAACATCTGTTGGGTTATTCGGTAGTATTTCCTCTTTCTCCCAGAAAACTTTTCCTCATCCCTTGGATTTTAATCTTCATTACGATGGCGAGTAAGTATCTTGAGTTACTAAAATATTTTTTAAATCTTTGATATGCTAGAAAAGTCTGGTTATTTATTTTTACATTTAAATTATCTCGTAAATGTTGCATTATATCCGTGTTATTCAAGTAAACTAATAAATATTGCATTATATTTTTTCTCCTCGTTTCTTTAAAAGGGGTTGTTAATTCAGTTAAAAAAACCTTTGTAGTAAGCGTAAAGGATGAAAATTTATGAAACAATTGTGAGGTAGATAGCAATATGATTTTAAGTACTTGTTGAATATTTAATGATGAGTGTGTGCATTCTCTGTTGTATGAACTTTTGCTACACGCCACTTTTTTTTCCTGAAAGACTAAAATTATCCGTGTTTTGTTTATGAAAGGAATCTAAAGAGGATTTTCGCATTTACATAAAAATAAATTTTTTCATATAAACCTGAACATGCAGCAAACTTCAACTTTGGACTTTAGGAAGGGTAAGCATAGATGCAGAAAGCTGATGAATATAAGCAATAAGAAGGTACTAATAGATGATTTTCAACCTGTTCCTGCTACATCATATTTCTTACAATCAAGTCCTGGATGACTGAATTATAGTTGCATTCTTACTGTCACCACCTTATTTTGTGTTTACTTATTGTCTGTAACACTTACTTATTGTCTTTTCGATTTTTGTATGTGAAGCTACATATAAGTTAATTCAGTTTATATATATTTTGTGTTTACTGTATTTCTACTGTTATTTAGGGTTTAAACAGTTATTTAATATGTACTTAAAAATTTGATTAATATTAGAAACATTTTCCCATATTAAATTAGTGATTGTTTCCTTGTTTTTATCCCATTTTGGTTTATGAAAGATTGCACTGGCACGCTACTTTCTGAAACAGTGAAACATGTGTTCTTAATTTTTTATTAGTGTTTATCATTTTACTTTTATTGAATGTTTTACAATCAAAAAACTGAAACCAAGTGTAAGAAGCATATTAAGTATTTCGTGAAATTTTGTTTTGATTGAAAACTAGAAAAATTAATTGAAGGTAGCCTGTTACCTACCTGTATGAAAGTTGAATGGGTTGATCTTTACATTATGGTAACTTGGCAATTTTTTGGCGAAAATTTGCAACCAACTCTCCTACAGCAACCCTCTATTTTTTTTCCCCGCCGCCATTTTGTCTTCACGAAGTAAAGACGTGTTTCTTTTCTTTTTTTTATCTACTGAACACTTCTTCACAATCTACTAGCCGAATTACACTTATGCTAGAAATTTTATCAAACAAAACTGCTTAATCATGACAAATATTCACTGCAAAATTGGGGAAAAGTGCACAATACCATACTCCTTACGCGTTTTTCAAAATAACACATACACATAAACCATGAACACGCCGACTTATTTTTACTTAAAAAAACATCCCAGAATTGCACAAAAGTGGCATTACGCACACTCTTCATTATATCCATGTACACTGCTTTTTTCTCATAAATTAGAAAAATTTTAGGTTGATCTTTACAATACGGTAACTGGTAGTTTGGCGACATTTTGGAGGCGATAAAGGTTACTACCTGGGACTTTGGTAATAATGTGAGCAGTACTCAGTTCCGATTACGCATTATTTTGTGTGAGGGAAATGAGAGATCATGGGATATGTCGTGATATTAATGGACGAATTACGGTTCTTGAATCGGAAAAGGGGGGAAATCTGGAACAAATCTAGAAATTTTGTATTTGGTTTATTCTGTGTTGTGTGAAACAGTGTTCGTGAATTTTTGGATCCCATGGCCGTAACTCAAGAAAAGTTTATCGGACACGTAATCAAGATTCTGAAGAAGATTAGGTAAGTTAGTATTTTA